GTGTAGTAGTAGTAGTAGTAGTATAGTAGTAGTGTAGAAGTAGTAGTAGTAGTAGTAGTAGTAGTAGGTAGTAGTAGTAGAAAGTAGTAGTAGTAATAGTAGTAGTCGTAGTAATAGTAGTAGTAGTAGTAGTAGTAGTTAGTATTGTAGTGTAGTAGCAGTTGTTAATAGCAGTAATAGTAGTAGTAGTCGTAGTAGTACTACAGTAGTAGTAGTCGTTCGTCGTGGTAGTAGTAGTAGTAGTAGTCGTAGTAGTAGTAGTAGTAGTAGTAGTAGTAGTAGTAGTAGTAGTAGTAGTGGTAGTAGTTGTAGTAGTAGTAGTAGTAGTAGTAGTAGTAGAGATAGTGGTAGTACTAGTAATACTAGTAGTCGTCGTCGTAGTCGTCGTCGTAATAGCAGTAGCCGGCGTAAGTGTAATAATAGTATTCGAAATCGTCGCGGTAGTACTAATATTAATAGTAGTAGTCGTCGTCGTGAAATTAGTTGTATTCGTGGTAGTAGTAGTAGTAGTAGTAGTAGTAGTAGTAGTAGAAGCAGTAGTAGTAGTAGTAGTAGTAGTAGTAGTAGTAGTAGTAGTAGTAGTAGTGGTAGTAGAACAAAGAGTACTACTAGACGTAGTCGTCGTTTTAGTCGTAGCGCTGACTCGCTGAACGCGCTATGGAAACTGCTTGGGAGAGCTCTTGGAACATCGCGGAACTCACTTGGATACCCATCAAGACCTCGCAGTGAGCTGAGCTCACATTTCGCTGGCTGTAGTACCAGTAGTAGTAGTAGTAGTAGTAGTAGTAGTAGTAGTAGTAGTAGTAGTAGTAGTCGTAGTAGGAGTGGTCGTAGTACTGATAGTAGTAGTAATCGTAGTAGTGGCAGTAGTAGTACTTGTAGTAGTATTAGTAGTAGTAGCGGTAGACAGAATGGTATTGGTAGTAGTCGTAGTAGTCGTAGTAGTAGTTGTAGTAGTAGTAGTAGTCGTCGTAGTAGTAGTAGTAGTAGTAGTAGTAGTAGTAGTAGTAGTAGTAGTAGTAGTAGTGGTAGTGGTAGTAGTGGTAGTAGTAGTAGTAGTAGTAGCAGTCGTTGTTGTAACAATGAGAATCGTAGTAGTAGTAGTAGTAGTAGTAGTAGTAGTAGTAGTAGTAGTCGTAGTAGTAGTAGTAGTAGTAGTAGTAGTAGTAGGAGTAGTAGGAGTAGTAGTACTGGTTGTCGTAGATATAGTAGTTAGAGTAATAGTAGGAGCGGTGGAAGTAGTTAGCAAAGTCGTCGTCGTCGTAGTCGTAGTAATAATCGAAGTAGTCGTCGTACTCGTAGGGGTAGTAGTAGTAGGAATAGTAGCAGTAGTAGTAGTAGTAATAGTAGTAGCCGCAGAAATACTCATAATAGCAGTAGTAGTAGTAGTAGTAGTAGTAGTAGTAGTAGTAGAAGTAGTAGTAGTAGTAGTAGTAGTAGTAGTAGTAGTAGTAGTGTAGTAGTAATAGTAGAGTAGTAGTCGTAGTCGTAGTCGTAGTCGTAGTAGTAGTAGTAGTAGTAGTAGTAGTAGTAGTAGTAGTAGTAGTAGTAGAAGTAGTAGTAGCAGTAGTAGTAGTAGTAGTAGCATAGTAGCAGTAGTAGTAGTAGTAGTAGTAGTAGTAGTAGTAGTAGTAGTAGTAGTAGTGTAGTGTAGTAGTAGTAAGTAGTAGTAGTAGTAGTAGTAGTAGTAGTAGTAGTAGTAGTAGTAGTAGTAGTAGTAGTAGAAGTAGTAGTAGTAGTAGTAGTAGTAGTAGTAGTAGTAGTAGTAGTAGTAGTAGTAGCACTAGGAGTAGTACTAGTAGTAGTCGTAGTGGTAGTAGTAGTGGTTGTAGTAGTAGTAGTAGTAGTAGTAGTAATAATAATAATCGTCGTCGTCGTCGTCGTCGTAGTCATTGTCGCCGTCGCCGGAGTAGTGATAACACTTACCTACTAGTACTTCGGAACACGGAGTAGTAAAGAGGGTACTGAATGCTACGAATGCGAATGCTGAACCTGGACGCTTCTCTGGTAGCTTTACCAGCAAATTGCTGCGAGCGTGCTGCTGCGTCGTGCTGCAAAGTCAAGCCGCATTATGAACACGCGCGATAAGGATGCAAAGGGCCCCTGGGAGGCGACGTCGACATTTTGCGCGCGGGGCGCGGCCAGAGAAAGCGGCCAAGGATTGGCAAAAAGGGAAGGATGCAAGGGTAACCTTGGGAAGTCGTTCATCCATACCACGCGGGTTCACTGTACTTGCGCTGTCCGGTCGGGCGGGCTGTTTGGTAGGGTCGCTGTCTGATAAGGCGGCGATATGCCTGGCAAGGCCATACAACGAGACCCACAATTTAAAACGAACGCCCCTCAAGCCGTGACACCCTTGCAGAACATGTAAAACAAATGTGCGCGGCGCCACGGCGAGAACCATATTTTGAAAATGACCCGCAGTCACTCCGTGAAACTTGTGCAATGTTAGAAAAAAAGGAATTCGCGCAGCGTTCGGGCGAGAAACATATTTTGAAGACAGCCGCCCTCACTTGGCGAAACTCTTGCAAACTGTTGAAACGCATGTGCGCGGCGCGAAGGCGAGAGCCACATTGTGATAACGGCCCGCCCCCAATCCGTGCAACTCATGCAAATCTTTAACACGAGTGCGCGCGGCGCCGAGACAAAAAACACACATTTTGGAAGCGACCCGCCCTCAATCCGTGCAACTCCTGCAACGTGCTTGAAGCGAACGTGCGCGGCATTGAGGCGAGAGCCACATTGTGAAAACGACCCGCCCTCACTCCTCGGGTGTTGCTAGAAGTACCCCTGGCCCAAGGTACCCCCAGGATTCTCGGGGTGGCCCAGACGGCCTCCAGGGCACCCCTCACGAGGCCTAGAGGGCCCCAGGGCATCAAACATGGAGCGAAAAGCTGGGGGCACCTTGGGCCAGGGGCACTTCTAGCGACACCCGAACTCCGTGCATCTCTTGCAAATGTTTAAAACGAAGGCGCGCGGCGCTCCGGCGAGAGCAACATCTCGGAAGCGGCCCGCCCTCGCCCGTGACACTCTGGCAGCGCTTTGAGAGCGAACGTGCGCGGCCCGAAGGCGAGAACCACATGTTGAAAACGACCCGCCATCAACCCGTGAAACTTGCAACGTTTTTGAAACATGAATGTGCGCGGCGCGAAGGCGAGGCACACAATTTGAAACCGAACACCCCTCAAGAGGTGAAACCCTTGCAGAACATCAAGACGAATGTGCGCGGCCTTCAGGCGAGAACCATATTTTGAAAACGACCCGCCCTCAACCCGTGAAACTTGCAACGTTAAAAAAAATGCGCGCGGCGCTCAGGCGATAGCCACATTTTGAAACCGACCCGACCTCAATCAGTGAACCGAGTGGAATTTGTTTAAACCAATGCACGCGGCGCTAAGGCGAGAGCCACATCTTGAAAACGAGCCGCCTTCAATCCGCGAAACTCCTGCATTCTCTTTATCGGGGATGGACAGACCTCCCTTTAGTAAAACGTGGTTTAGTGAAAACGACCTGAGGCCCAAACCTGGCGGGCGCAGGCCTGGAAAATAACGGCCATGGCGCCCTCTCGAGAACCGAAAACGGACAATTCACTAATCGACGTGTCACTGTTGGGGGTTCTGTCCACCCCCGACTTTAACGAGTGCACGCGTCTCTGAGGCGAGAGCATTGCTTCGAGAAAGACCCGCCCTCCATCCGCGAGGCCCCGGCGGAGTCTTCAGAGCGAGCGTGCGCGGCGCTGCGGCGAGAGGATGCGTTTGGACCACGGCCCGCCCTCCATCCGTGGAGAGCTCCTGCAAGAGAGAAGCGTATGCCGCGTGCGCGCGGCGCCAGGAGCGAGAACCGCATTTTGGGACAACGACCCGCCTTGGGCGTGGCTTAATGGGGGTCACAAATGGGGGGGGTCAGAAAAGGTCCCCTTTCGTGCCCCCTTCGGGCCCCTCCAGAGCCCCAGGGGGCTCGTTTGGGTACCGTTTGGGTACCTTTTCGGACCACGCTCGCCACCCCCCCATGACCCCTCCATTACGCGACGCCCAACCGCCCTCCCTCCGTGAACCTCCGGCAGAGTTTAAAAACGCATGTGCGCGGCGCGAAGGCGAGAGCCACATTGTGAAAACGGCCCGCCCCCGATCCGTGCAACTCCTGCAGATGTTTCACACGAGTGCGCGCGGCGCCGAGACAAGAACCACATGTTTGAAACGACCCGCCCTCAATCCGTGCAACTCTTGCACCTTTCTTAAAGCGAACGTGCGCGACATTAAAGCGAGAGCCACATGTTGAAAACGACCCGCCGCCGCCGTCAATCCGTGAAGCTCTTGCAACGTCTGTTAAACGAATGCGCGTGGCGCTAAGGCGAGAGCCACATTTTGAAAACGACCCGCACTCAACCAGTGAAACTCTTGCAAGTTTTTGAAATGAATATGCGCGGCGCTAAGGCGAAAGTCACATTTTGGAAGCGAGGGAGGACTCCTACTCCCCCCTCCTCATCCTCCACAGTCTCCTCCTCCTCCTCCTCCTCCTCATCATCACCATCATCATCATCATCATCATCATCATCATCATCATCATCATCATCATCATCATCATCATCATCATCATCAGCATCATCATCATCATCATCATCATCATCATCATCATCATCATCATCATCATCATCAGCATCAGCATCATCATCAGATCATCATCATCATGATCATCATCATGATCATCATGATCATCATCATCATCATCAAAATCATCATAATTATCATAATAATCATCATCATCATCATCATCATCATCATCATCATCATCATCATCATCATCATCATCATCATCATCCTCTGGGTGCCAGAATTACGCTTCACGGTGCGGGAAGTTTTATCCTTTTGCCGAAGAAAGGGAGAGTTCTTAATCACTTTCCAACCAAGTTTATCCACACCTCGGAGGGTGTGGCTGGTGGGGCTGAGATACCATGACCCAAACGGGGATGGGGATAGGCTTGACGTTTGACGATGCTGAGCCTCTTCCGCCTCGATGGCCGCCAACGCCGACTCGGCAGACCGCATGGCGGACTCCAGGCTATCGGCGCCGCACAGGGTGGTGGCCGCGGCGCCAGCCAGCGCAGTGTGGGTGGTCGCCCCGGTGAGCACTGGCCGCCGAACGCCACGGCGGCCATTGGCTGGAGCACCAGTGGCACGCGGGGCGCCAGCACTGGCAGTCCGAGGGCGTTTGGCGGCGCTGCCTCGGCGTGGCCGCGCAAGTGCACTGGGGCCAGCAGAGCTGATGGCGGCGCGCGCAGGGCTGCAGCCACTGCCGGGGAGCACGCGGCCATGCTGGCCTGAGCCGTGGCGAAGACCTTCGGCGGCGCCAGGAACGCGAGGCAAGCCGCGCCTTCCGCCCAGGCCCCTGCGCCAACGGGAGCCGGGACCGCGGTACCCCTGCGGCTGCTGCAGGGCGTCCACTCGAATGCCTCGTCGTCTTCGTCGGTGTCCGGCCACAGCTCAGGCGCGCTCTCCTCGTCGAGGCTGCCCGCCTGCTCCGCGTGCCCCCTTGGGCTGCCCGGGGCCTCCGAGGCGCAGCTCCCAGGCGCAGAGGTCGAGCCGCCGTTCGAGGTGGCGGAGGTGCACGCCGCCGCGCCCGGCAGGGCACAACGGCAGCCGCTGCCGCGCCCCTCCTCGAGGGCGTCGAGCGTCGGCCTGAAGGGGAACGAGCAGGTGGGCCCTGGAAACGACAGGGCCGTCTTTTTTACCGGTTCCGTTTTGCCGTTTTCTTGCCGGTTCCGACGCCGTTTTTTTACCGGTTCCGTCGCCGTTTCTTGACCGGTTCCGGCTCCGGTTCCAATCCTGGAGCCGTTTTGGTTGCCGTTTCTGGTCGCCGTTTTTTGTGCCGTTCCCATTTTCAAGGGGCGCGTTCTGAAACGGTGAGAAAAAAAAGGCCCTGCGGTTTCCGGGGCCCACTAAAGGGAACGAGCAGGTGGGAACCGGCTCACGGGGGAAGCATCGCCCTGGAATCACCGAGGCCTCGGCGATGCGCACCCCATGGCGAAGCCGCGCGCTCCTGGGCGGGGTGGGCCGCTGGGCCTCCCTCGGCGAGGAGTCGATGCGCTCCCCTGGAGCCTAACGCCCCCCCGTAACGTCGCCCCCTGGCTTTCTGCTACACGCAAGAGTGACCCTGGGTAAGAGTGACCTTTGGTGCGCGGCCTTTTGGTGGCCGCGGGGGGACAAAACCTGGGCGCGCAAGCCGCTGCTCCTGCTTCGTTTTCAGCCACCTGGGGGCCCATCTGTGCCCGCACCAAAGGTCCCTCCGGCGCAAGGTCACTCCTACGTCTAGTCGAGGCTTCTGGGTCTATAGGCTCGGCTCTCCGGCCTCCGCTCGGCACGATCTGGGCACCCCTGGAACGCCCTCGGCGAGGCGCAGCTGCGAGGGAGCGTCCCGAGGCTGGAAAAGGCCGCCGAGCAGGGACGAGAACGCCCGAACTTCTCGAACTCCCGAGCCTTGCCCCCCCCCCTCCCCCCCCGGGAGCCTGCCCGAGTACCCCGGGTGGCTGTGGCTGCGATTGCGGGCGCGGGGCGGCTCGCCCCAGACCTGGAAGGTGCTGTCGAGGGGCGCCGGGCGGGGTTCGGCGCTGGTCCGCGCCATCGGCCGCGAGAGAGCTCTCCCGGGGGGCGCCGCGGGCGGACGCCGTGGAAGGGCCAGGGGGAGACTTGGCCAGGCAATACTCGGCCAGGCTGCGCTCGGCCCGCTGAGCTAGGCCAGGCAGAACTCGGCCCAGGCCAACGTCAGCCTGGCCGAGTCCAGCCTGGCTCCACGCAAGAGCGGCCCTGGGCAAGAGTGACCTTCAGTGCGCGGACCAAGGGGGCGCGAGGTGGCCCAATCCAAGCGCGCAAGCAGCCACTATCGCATCGCGCTCAGCGATCGGGGGATCCTGGTGAGCCCACACCAAAGACTCTAAGATCACTCCGGCGAAGGGTCACACTTCCGTGTAGTCGACTGGCCGAGATCCACCAGGCGACAGCTGGCCGAGTTCAGCCCGGCCGAGCTTTTCCTGGCCAAGCTGTGAGCTGCAGCTGGAAAGCGGGAGGATCCCGAGCACCGGGAGGGGCACTCGAGCCCAGACGGCAGCGGACGAGCAGGGGCGACGCCCATGAGGACGCTGCGTCGTCGTCGTCGTCGTCGTCGTCGTCGTCGTCGTCGTCGGAGGAGGAGGAGGAGGAGGAGAAAGGGAGGAGGAAAAAGGAGGAGGAGGAGAAGGACACGAAGCCCAGGAAGGAAACTCCAGGCATACATGCGCTGCCGGGCAGCACTCAGGACACTGAGGTGCAGGTTGTAGTCGTAGGCGTTGTCTGCGATTTCGTGACGGATGAAGTCAGGAGGAGTAGGAGGAGAGGAGGAGGAGGAGGAGAAGGAGGAAGAGGACGAGGAGGAGGAGGAGCACACGTCACCTTGGGGGGGAAGCGTGATCCGTTACATTTTGAGGGCAACACGGGCTGCGCTGGGGGCCTGGTGCAGCATGGAGTCGGT